AATAAGATTAAATTTGTAATCCAATAAATATTACTCCTATATAAAATATTTTTTCCTTCCCAAAATATAGGAAAATAAAATTATTTTACTCTATGCAGGACAAGTCCATCTATAGATAATTTTTTATTTTATTTTGTTGTGATGACAAGTAGGAACTCGAAGTTTTTTTGTTAAGAACATTCCAGATGTCTTAGGTGGACAAAACTTTTTTTTTTGGTGCGTATACTCATTTCCACGTCAGCGCGAGGAAGCACTTTTTTGTGTAGAGGGACGTAGAAGACTCGAGAAGCAGAGATTTCACCTCTTCGTCAAGGCAACTTCTTTGGTTGATAGAAGAACCTAGAATTCTTCTGCATTCATATATAAACCACCCTCCCCTTTCCACAAAAATCAGATCCCAAGCGTTCTTACGAATTCTCTCTTCATAGCGTCCTAACAAGTTTCACATTCTCTGCATTTCTCAATGGCGGATGTTCAAATGGCTGATGCTGAAACCTTCGCATTCCAGGCTGAGATTAACCAGTTGTTGAGTTTGATCATTAACACTTTCTACAGCAACAAGGAGATTTTCCTTCGGGAACTTATTAGCAATTCTTCTGATGCATTAGACAAGATTCGATTCGAGAGTTTGACGGATAAGAGCAAGCTTGATGCTCAACCTGAGCTCTTCATTCGCCTTGTTCCGGATAAGGCTAATAAGACCCTCTCCATTATCGATAGCGGAATCGGCATGACTAAAGCAGGTAATCGCATTGTTCATCTACTATTACTATTCCGTTGTTTGTCCAGCGTTATATTGCTCTGTTAATCTCCAAGAGATTTATCGGTGCTAGCTTTTCGTAGACTCTTGTTTCAATGAAATTTTTATCTGTATGCATATGTTGCTGTAGTTTAATGTTAGGAAAGTGTGTCTGTATTACTCTTGTTTCGGAGAATGAATTTAATTTGTGTGTCTGATTTGAAAACGTATATTCATATCAAAGTACTGGTGGTATTGTCATGATTTTCCCATTAATCCTTGGAGAAAATTTAATCTCACATATCGACGCATGCAGTTTAACTATCTAGCACTAATCGATTGATTGATGGCAGTGGTTCATACTCTAGGAGGAGGATGGTTGAGTTGATTTATAAGGACCTCCGGATTTAGTTGTAGAATGGATACTGATGACTCTGTTTTTTTTCTGTTGGTTCGAGTAGATTTGGTCAACAATTTGGGTACAATTGCAAGGTCCGGCACAAAGGAATTTATGGAAGCGTTGCAGGCTGGAGCTGATGTTAGTATGATTGGCCAATTTGGTGTTGGTTTCTATTCTGCTTACCTCGTAGCAGAGAAGGTCATTGTGACCACCAAGCACAACGATGATGAGCAGTATGTCTGGGAATCACAAGCCGGTGGTTCATTTACTGTTACAAGGGATGTCGATGGAGAGCAATTGGGCAGAGGAACTAAAATAACTCTCTTCCTTAAAGAGGACCAGGTAAGCAGCACTACTTAACTGCAGGAATGGTTATGTTAAAATTCATTTGTCCTAATTTAGAGGTTGTTGTAATTAATTTTGATTTAATTACAGCTGGAGTACTTGGAGGAGAGGAGAATCAAGGATTTAGTGAAGAAGCACTCTGAATTCATTAGCTACCCTATTTATCTCTGGACTGAGAAGACAACCGAGAAAGAAATCAGTGATGATGAAGATGATGAGCCCAAGAAAGATGAGGAGGGTGCTGTTGAGGAGGTCGACGAGGATAAAGAGAAGGAGAAAGGCAAGAAAAAGAAGATTAAAGAGGTTTCTCATGAGTGGCAGCTCATTAACAAGCAGAAACCTATCTGGTTGCGCAAACCAGAGGAGATCACCAAGGATGAGTATGCCTCTTTCTACAAGAGCTTGACCAATGACTGGGAGGAGCACCTTGCTGTCAAACACTTCTCTGTTGAGGGGCAGCTTGAATTCAAGGCAATCCTCTTTGTGCCCAAGAGAGCTCCTTTTGATCTTTTTGACACCCGAAAGAAGATGAACAACATTAAGCTTTATGTCAGGAGGGTGTTCATTATGGACAACTGCGAGGAACTTATCCCTGAGTACCTCGGATTTGTGAAGGGTGTTGTTGATTCTGATGACTTGCCTCTCAACATCTCTCGTGAGATGCTACAGCAGAACAAGATTCTCAAGGTGATTAGGAAGAACCTCGTGAAGAAATGTATTGAGATGTTCAATGAGATTGCTGAGAATAAGGAGGACTATAACAAGTTCTATGAGGCTTTCTCAAAGAACTTGAAGTTGGGTATTCATGAGGACAGCCAGAACAGAGCCAAGTTGGCTGACCTTCTTCGTTACCACTCCACCAAGAGTGGCGATGAGATGACCAGTCTCAAGGATTATGTCACCAGAATGAAGGAGGGCCAAAAAGACATCTATTATATCACTGGAGAAAGCAAGAAGGCAGTGGAGAACTCTCCATTCTTGGAACGTCTCAAGAAGAAAGGATATGAAGTGCTCTACATGGTTGATGCCATCGATGAATATGCAGTCGGGCAGCTGAAAGAATATGATGGTAAGAAGCTAGTCTCTGCTACGAAGGAGGGACTGAAGCTTGATGATGACAGTGAAGAAGAGAAGAAGAAAAAGGAGGAGAAGAAAAAGTCTTTTGAGAACCTTTGCAAGATCATTAAAGACATCCTTGGCGACAAAGTTGAGAAGGTGGTTGTGTCTGACAGGATTGTTGATTCTCCTTGTTGCTTGGTTACTGGCGAATATGGTTGGACAGCCAATATGGAAAGGATCATGAAGGCTCAGGCCTTGAGGGACAGCAGCATGAGCTCTTACATGTCCAGCAAGAAGACAATGGAAATTAACCCCGACAATGGAATCATGGAAGAACTGCGTAAGAGAGCTGAGGCTGACAAAAATGACAAATCAGTGAAGGATCTTGTGTTGTTGCTCTTTGAGACTGCGCTACTGACATCTGGTTTTAGTCTTGATGACCCTAACACTTTTGCTGCAAGGATTCACAGGATGCTGAAGTTGGGTCTGAGCATTGACGAGGAAGAGGAAGCTGTTGAAGATGCGGATATGCCTGCACTGGAGGAAACTGGTGAAGAAAGCAAGATGGAAGAAGTGGACTAAGCACGCTGCTTGGTTTGAAGATGTCTTACATTGGATGCTGAACATACATTTTACTCTTGGTTCTCTTTTCTTCTGTTTAGTAATACCTTTTTGGCTAGTGGTTCTGATGTGTCGATTGAGCCTGTTGTGTAAGCAACTGCGTCACCTAGTTTGTGTGTAGTTTGTCTCGTCCAAGTGTTACTGTCAGAGTTTGTCATCCGATTTCTGAATGTTAATAGACTATTTCGATTATCGATATTTCCTGTTTTATACTCGGTTCTACTCTTTTCCAGGATGTACAGTCCAACGATTATTCTCAAATTAACATGAATACCTGAGCTGGGCAACTTAGATTAGATGTGGTGGGTAAAGGGTAATTAAGTACTAAGTAGGGTACCCCTGAGAAAACAATTCAGGTGACTAATTGCCTGAAAGGACTAAGGTACTCTTTCAGGGTTAGTATTCTTCTTCTAGCTGATTCTCTCCCTTTAAACTGGTCAACTGAGCTAGAGTTAAATGCCCAAAATAACGTCCTTGTTGGATAATTAATTCCCTAAAGACCCCTATGCGAGACATTTAAACATATAAAATCTTAACTACGTGGAGTAACACTCTTATACAAATAAGCTGATCTTGCAATGTCCAAAAATTATGCTTAACAAACTTTAGAATTTTAATAAAAGCAAATGCAATAATACCGAGGCTTCACGATAAACTATTGGAAGATATGAACGTATGAAAAAGGTCCACTGAAGTAAGAAAAGAAAAGAATTATGTAGACCAACATTAAAACATGATTCAGATTTCGACTGCCTATATTAATGGTGTTACATAATCTTTTTAAAAGGAAGCCATTTTGACATATTTCACAAAAGTCGTGTAGGTAATAAAAATTGAACCGCTACTCCTTTTAGCGTATACCAAAAATTTACTTCCTCTGTTATTTGTTTAGTATTCTAAATTTAAATTTTTCACTTTTATTTGTTAGTTTTTCTTTTTTTTTCTGTTATATCCACAGTGTTAATTACTGATTTCAAATCAATTTCAAATCTTTGATATTATGATAGGTAGAGACCATCTTCTCAAGTAATTTTTTTGTTTCTCCTCTTTGCTTTGTTTTTTTTCTTTCTTTTGGAGTGTTAACTAACGGCAAGGAAACTTACCATAACCTGTAACCTTGCGACTATTTTGAAGAATTTCAACCTTGCGACTCCTTCGCAGACCTTTTAAAGAAAGTTTTCCAAAATACAACAGAAGTCTTTTCAGTCATTAAGAACAGTTCTGAGGCTATGCTCTGAAAGTTTCCAGCAAATAGCAAAACTTTTACAAACTGATTTTTTTTTAATCTAAACGCGTTTGTGTTTTCTCAAAATAAAATTGTTCAAAGTATATGTCTAAAGACTGTTTTAACCCACCCAAGTACGCATACGATATGTCAGTAAGCAGGGGGAGATACCTCCCACTCCCCTGCGGTCATTGCTTTCTTTTCTTGCTCTGCAATCTTCTTTCCACTTATAGTATAAGAACAGTTCACGTTTTTTAGCCCTTGTAAACATTTCACATCTCTGTAATAGCAAAAGTGCAAAACAATGTGAATATGTAATCGTCTCTACATATTCACCTGGAGTTCCACTCATTTTCTCAAATCAAGTCTTTTAATCTCCTCCTTCTACACTGGTACATTCTGATATAAATGTGCAATAACTAGGGCTTTTTACAGAACATACACATCACATTAGCGATTCAGAAGAGTTGATTCGGTTCCAAGTGTTAAATTTGATAAGTCTCTTATTTTCGGAAGCTGTAGCGGAAAGTTACAGGCGGAAACTGTGGAGGTAGGGGGCTATAGTTGTACGAACTTGTACTGACTGTGAAAATTTGAGCAACGACTTCGGAATGGGTGTGGAAATTGAAGAACACAGCTCAGGAGAGCGGTTGGAATCGGAGAGAACTATTACAGAGATTTTAAAGTGACTAACGTTTTCTTACTCTTTTTTATTTTTATTTTCGCTTCTATATCCAATTGCAAGTATTACACTGATTAACATAAATTTTTGTTTGATACTTGTGCTGCAGAGATTCTAGGATTACGTACACTAAAGCATTCATGTTATCATTGATTAACCTGCAAATTTGTAAGGAGTTACCCAAGGATTTTGATTCATCAGTTTTACGGTAAGTGAAATGTCGCAACTTTAATTGCTTGATGTCGTCTCTGCTAATTTTGCTTTATTGTTCCGTTATGCTTTAATTAAGTTGTTCTCTATGCTTTAACTGCGAGAAAAAGTGCCGAACTGCTTAATTATTGCTTATAAAAGAAGATACTTCGCGTGACTTTATTTACTTGCGACTAGCGGTTCTAAATTAAGATGAACACTTCCATTTACAGCTGAGAAATTTGATGTCGAAAACTATGTTCCGCTCTTTTACATTCAATTGCTGGTAAAAATTTCTCTGCTTATCGCAACAAAAAGAAAAAAATGAAACGAAGAAAGAAATAGAATAATCACAGCGTAGGTTGACTTATTGACTCGTGATAATTGACGCTGATCTTACAGGTTTAATAACTAGTTACTATTAATTTATATTTGGTGACTAGTTCTTTCTGCATCTTGTAATTGCTTCCCTAACAGCGAACTTGATGGTGCATCTGAGTATAAGCTGGAAATGCAACAGACATCTGCGGTCCTACCTCCGTATGCTTCAAACAATTCTTATATTGATCCTTCAACTGTTATTAGATGTGATTTGGTTGCTGCTTCTCGAGGATCTTGTGGAAGATGGGAGAAACAATGTTCACGGTTGAACACACAGAATAGTCCACAGGGAAGCTGTGATTCAGGTCTTTGACAATAGTTGTTATGATGCATTGAATTAGTTCTCTTACTTTATGATCGATTAAATCCAATCCTTGATATGTCAAACTTATTATGCAGAGTGCCCTCAAATTGTATAATCAAGTTAGTTTCAGAAACAGTCAGGTTTTTTATGTAACAGGAGGTTCTGCTAGATTACATTCACTTGGTTAAATCAATGTTTCAATAACACACTTTATCTTTCTTCATGTATCTGGATGTTGCATGCATACCTCTCAAATGCCCAGTGTATAGATGGTTCACTAGTTATGAGTAGATAAGAACCTGTTATACTACCCATAGGTCTATTCTGATGATAGACATGTAATGCAGATTCCAGGGTGCAGAATGATCGTTCTGGGATTTTGGGATCAATTCTTAGTAAGAGCAAGAACCCTTATCGTCCACCACAGTCCTACAAGGTCAGGTTATTATGCACTCAAGATTGGTCATGATTATGGCTCCTGTATTGCTCTACTATGTCTCTAGTGCAAAGCAAAAACTCTCTATTCACAATATGCTTAAAGAATAAACCAACCCATTCCATGAGGTGCATGTAGTTTTTGTAAATTAAGCCTTGTGATTGTGCAGGTTGGCAATTCCAATTCGTATGCTAGCCATTCATCAAAAGAAACTAAGTCTCTAGCTAACAAGGCCTGTACTGCTCAAGAGGATGTACAATTACACAATGATACTCTTCAAATCAATGTAGTTGGGGATAAAAGTTCTGATGTTCTGGCTACCCATCGGAGCAAGCAGATTGCGAAATTGTCTGAAAGCCAAAAATCTGTCGACAAGTTTGTAGATCAAGAGAAGTCACAGTGCGAAGCACCTGATTCTAAGGATGCTGCTATTGCTACTTCTCAGCAAGAACATCCTGATTCAGATGCTAAAGCATTAAAGGCGATTAATTTGGAAGAATCTGAAAGAACACAATTTGGAAAGACACCTGAGGTATTTTTCTGGACATGGTTAGATGTTCACTAATAAGAGATACTTAAGTCCCAGTATCGGTTTTATTATCGATACTTTCCCTCTTATTCTTGGTAAGCTTGCGATTTTTCTTAGTCCAGTATCTGTCTTCTAAGTAGTGTCTGGGATTTTCCCCTAGATTTAAGAGCTTATTCGTCAATGCAATTATCCGATTCCATAGTTTCCTTTGACATTTAGATGACACTTCGGTCAAGTCAAACAAGGAAAGGGTAGGAAGGTCGAAAAAATAAATGAAATGAGGCTGAACTGGATTACATATTTATTCAGTCAGATAATTACCCATGACTGCAATGATAGTGGTGCAGTTTTGTCCTTTTTATCTTCTTTGCAGAAGGAAGCGTCACTGCCACATGCTGACTTTCCTGGCATTGCAACAAAATGTTTGAGGAGGCCATGTACTGCCAGAAGGGAGAATGGTATTCGTACAGTCAACATCTTAGCAGAGGGAAGCCATGAAAATCTTAAACTGAATCTGGAGTCCAAGGATGATTTTGAAACTGAAATCAGTAATGAGTTGCTTTCAGATGAAACATTCTTTCCTTCTCAGGAAAATTCGTACGAGAGGAATTTGAAAACCAACCAATTAGAGCCCTATGAATTCTTCTTAGCACCAGTTCTCCGCAATTGTGGAGCTTTTGGGACAGATTGTGAAGGGATTAGGGATTCTATCTTTGATTGTGAGCTTGAGTTGGATGAGATTGAGGAAAGCACATCTCTTTTTGATGATTTTTGGACTGAGATACTAGCAGTTATTCATTTGGAGCAGGAATCTAAGGTTAGTTACTCGGCTGATACAGATAACATAACAGAATCTGAAGTTCCACTTCGTTTACCGGACGAAGATGAATTGATTTTCCTGAATTATGAGGAAGGGCCAAAAGAGCCCAAGATCCCTCCTGTGGACACTTCTACTGATTTGGATTTTGTGGAAGATGAAATCATTTTGCCTGACGAGGACAGTCTGATTTCTGCTGACAATCTAACAAAGCACATGGTTGCAAAGAGTTGGTGGAAAACTGATACTGCTGATTCTGCTGACAATTCTGAAGATGCTAATTGCTCAGAGGTAACATTTGCCGGTAGAGCTGATAAAGTGATGGCTAACTTCATTGCTGACAACACTGAACACCAAGAAGTTGCTCATTGTCGTGAGAAATCGTCTCCACCTGGTGTGAAAGTTCCATCATCTCCTGAATTTTCGAGCTCTGTAACTCACTGGAAACCATGTCCCAACCAGATCGTTTCTCAGACCCCGTGTTTCCATGTAAATCCAGAAATTCCAACTCTCCATCCATTGGATCTTTATTTTACTTGCAGTAGTTTCCAGAACATAAGAGAACCAAAACACGTTCATTATTACCCAGCAGTATATTGGTACCCTTGTTCTGACATTCATCATGAGTCTTCCATGAAAACCACACCCGCCAATGGAAAGAAATATGAGTATCTTAAACAGTATCCAATGTTGCACCAGCCAGATAATGAGCAAGTCATTTATGATGTTGTACAACAATGGGATACTGTGCAACTATTGCCTGAGACTTATCAACAATCACACTACCCAGGATTTGGATTTCCAATATGAGGTGAGGTACGCTTTCCAGCCCTGTTCTTTGACCTCTAAATTCGACTTAAAGGCCCTGTTGTTGGAGAAAGGAAGGAACTTGTTTTCATTTGGTCGCTCTGTTTCGTCATTTGGTACTAAACGCAAAATCTTTTGTCGTCCATTTGGATTATTTATAACTTGTCATTTTCCAGCAAATGAGAGTTGATACACCCATGGGGTGCGGCCCTTCCTTGGATCCTACGTGAATGCGGAATGCCTTTTGCACCGGGCTGCCTTTTTTTTTAACCTCACTTTCTCTTCATCATTGCAATGTTTCCATCAATTTTAGGTTAGAAGATAGCTCAAACGTGTGTTCCAACAATTTCTTTACTTTCACTTGCTTGGGAGTTCAATTTTTTGAAAATTTAAAGGCTATCGAAACTTAATTATCTTTGCAGTAACTTCAGCTTTCCGGTTTTTCCTTCTATATGTATTCAACTAATATAACTCTTCTGTACAAGCGGTTAATATGTATCTTTCATATGTTATACAAATATAGCAGCATATCTAGAGTCTAATGCTATACGATTAGAGTATTGCTTTTAATCCATGGCAAATTTAGCAGTCGCTGATTTCTTCTCAAAATTGGTCATTGCTTAGCACATGTTATGGGGAAGATGAAACATTATCTTTAGCACCCTGTAAACCATAAGACCATCTTCTCAATAGTTTTCAACTTTGATGCCTTTATTATAGTTAAATGCTGGACAAAAATGTTTAAAACTGCTTCAGCTTCAAGTCAGAATGCTATAAGTGATTCATCTGGAGACAAAGATTTCAAGGTCCTTTTTTCATTTTTCAGATAACTAGAAGCTGCTGATATGCAACTGGCTCGTTGACATGAAAGAAGAAGCAAAAAGGAGACTCTATTGCAGCTAGCTAACTTCCACTGTCTACAGCAAAGAATATGCCTTAGGATTTTAGTATGTAGTAGATGATCATGACCGTAGGATTTTAATTTGTAGTAGATGATAATTTTGATGGAATGGGCAACTGCTGGTTGACACACAATTGCACAGAACTCATCCATTGCTGAAGTTTGTATATACACACACAATAGCTTCAGACGGGAAGGCAGCTTGTCGGCACTTGTTTTAGTTGGAAAAGGAACTGACTTAGGAGAACACAACATTCATCAAGGTATTAAATAAATCAAACTTCACATTTAATGCCTGGATGTCGTATTTTTATTGATCATGCACGTATAAATACTATCTGTAAGTATCATGTTCTTTGACTTCCTAGCTTATTTATGGTTAGATACTCCGATGTTATTTAGATTGTAATCCAGGGAGTAATAAAATAACTTGAAGGAGGAAAAATAACATCAATTATTTCTTTCTTCTATAAGGCATACTTGATTAGGGCAAATTAAGATATGTCAAATTGTGAGGATTGCTTGAGGTCGTTACGGAGGAAGGTTCTAGAATAGAGTTCTGTTATTTAGAGAATGAGCAATCTTGATCTCCACTGCTATGTACAGTCGATATATACTAGAAGAAAGAAGAAGGAAAACTAAAAAAAGGCTAAAACACCTTTAACTTACTTATAACAAACTACCTACCTTCCTAATTAACTAACTACCCATGTGATTTTCACATGTTTATTTATATCATAATATGCCCCTTCAAGCTGGAGGGTGCAGAACATTGAACACTCCAAGCTTGCCAAGTAGATAATCGTGTTGAGCTGCCCCTAATGCTTTCGTCAACAAATCTGCTTGGTGCTCCTTAGTGATGACATGTATTGTCTTAACCATCTCTTCCTTGATTTTGTCTCTAATGAAATGATAATCGATCTCAATGTGCTTTGTTCTTTCGTGAAGTACATGATTAGCTGCTAGTTGAATGGGTGACTTACTATCACTGAACACTGTGACTGGTCGTACAATTTCCACACCCAATTCCTTGAACAAACCAAGTAGCCATGTCAATTCTGCAATGCTTGCAACCATGCTTCTGTATTCTGCTTCAGCTGAACTCATTGAAACCTTCTGTTGCTTCTTCAATTTCCAAGATATCAATGAGTTTCCAAACTTGATAGCATAACCAGTGATAAACCTTCTAGTATTAAGACATGCAGCCTAGTCTGAGTCATACCATCATGTGAGCTCCTTAGCATATTCAGATTGTAGTAGCACACCTTGCCCTGGAGCACTCTTCAAGTACCTCACCACTCTCAGGGAAGCATCCCAATGAGATCTTTTTGGTATTTGCATAAACTGGCTCAAGGCTTGTACATCATAATTAATGTCAGGTCTTGTTATGCTAACATATAGAAGTTTTCCTGCTAGCCTATGATAAGTGCTAACATCCTGTAAAGCCATATCTCATGTGATTCCATTTTCCTTGTCATACTCTATTAAAGTCAGCGTTGAATTGACTTCCAATGGTGTACATGCAGGTTTAGCTCCACTTAATCATATGTTTGATATCAACTCTAACACATATTTCCTCTGATTCAATAGTACTCCACTCTTGGATCTTACGATTTTGATTCCCAAGAAGTACTTCAAACTCTCCCAAATCCTTCACTTTAAAGTTCTGATGCAGTATGTCTTTGGCCTTCTTAATCAACTCTGCACAACTTCCTGTGATGAGGAGGCCATCCACATATACAAGAATAGCCACTATGTCTTCTTGACTCTTTAGTGTGAAGAATGAATAATCATGATAGATTTGTATAAAACCAACTCCCAATAGAGCCTCAGTTAGTTTAGTATTCCATTGCCTTGAAGCTTGCTTGAGTCCATATAGAGACTTCATTAACTTGCACACTTTCCTTTTTCCTTGTCTTCTGAAGCCTTCAGGTAGCTCCATTTATACCTCTTCATATAGATATCCTTGCAAGAAGGCATTATAAACATCTTTTATCTGGTATAATCCCCAGCCTCTTGAAGCAGCTAAGGCAATGACAGTCCTCACAATGATCATTTTGGCCACTGGTGAGAAGGTGTCATGGTAGTCCAAGTCTTCCCGTTGAAAGTATCCTTTTGCAACCAATATGGCCTTAAATCTTTTTATGTCTCCATCTTCCTTGAACTTTATTTTATACACCCACTTTGATCCAACAACATTCTTCCCTTATGGTAAGTCTACCACTTTTCATGTGTTATTGTCTTCTAATGTCACCCCTCTTATTTCATTGCTTCTATCCATCTACTATCCTTCACAGCTTCCTTGAATGTATGTGGTTCAGTTAGTTGAGAGAATTTTGCTAGATAACATTGGTAGCTAGAACTGGTTTGATCATAGGCCAAGTAATTTGAGAGAGGATAGTTGCAATTTATGTTCTTTTTGGTTGTTACATAGTCTTTCATCCATATTGGTTCTTTGACCTGTCTTGTAGGTCTTCTGTCTGGTCTTGAGCTTGTTGCATTTTCACTTTCCTGCTGCTCATTGATATTTCCTTGCTGGTCTTCAATGGTAGTTGATTTCTCCTGTGCATTCTCATAGCCCGTTTGGCCAAGCTTCTAAAATCAGCTTATTTTGAGAAGTGCTTTTCTCAAAAGTACTTTTTAAAAAAGTACTTTTGGTGAGAAACAATTTGTGTTTGGCTAATTAATTTGAAAAGCACTTTTGAGCAGTAATTAGTGTTTGACCAAACTTTTAAAAATTGCTTCTAAGTATATTTTTCTCAAAAGTGCTTTTGGAGATAAGCTACTTTTTTCTACTTCTCCAAAACTGCTTCTGCTTCTCCTCAAGAGCACTTTTTTCCCTTCCAAAAGCTTGGCCAAACACCTCAATTTTTGGCCAAAAGTGTTTTTGGCCCAAAAAAATACTTTTGGCCCAAAAAAAGCTTGTCTAAACAGGCTATTAGAGGTCCCTGCTATATCTATCTCCTGCTGATTTTCAGAGTCTGTGTCTGGGTTCTCCTGCATGGTATTCTGTCCATTGTCCTGCAAAGTCACTTCTTTCTCCAGGGAGTTCAAAGTGCTTGTTTCCTGCAAAACGTTAGTATATAAAGGAGAGAACAACAAATGATTCAATTCTCCTCCACACTCCTAATTGACTGAGTTGTCCTCATTCTTCTTAGAAAATGGAAACTCAAATTCTCTAAAAACAACATCCCTGCTCATGAAGATTTGCTTTTTGAGCAAATAAAATAAAATATAACCTTTTTGTGTCTCAAAATACCCCATAAGAACATCTGCTCTGGCTCTTTCTGCAAATTTATCTATTTTGCCTACATTAGTAGCATAGCAAAGACATCCTAGAACTCTAAGATGTGCAAGGTTAGGCTTCTTGTGATACAAGACCTCATATGGAGTCTTGCCCCCTAGGACACTAGATAGTAGTCTATTGATCAAATATACATCTATTTGACACACATTCCCTAGTATTTGATTGGAATTGAGCCCTGAAACCTTAAGGCTCTTGCAGCATCAACTATGTGCCTATGGTTCCTCTCCACTATGCCATTCTGCTGTGGAGTATAAGGGTAGCTACTTTGATGGATAATACCTAGAGCATTCAATAATTCTGTACATTGCTTATTGAAGAATTCTGTCCCATTATCTGACTTTATCACCTTAACCATAATTCCAAACTGATTCTTAATCATAGTTAGGAACTGTTTTATTGCTACTATAACTTCAGACTTTAATTGTAGAAAAAATACCCATGTAAATCTAGAATGATCATCCACAATTTTCAAAAAGTACTGTTTTCTGTCAAAGGTAGCAATTTTATAAGGTCTTCATAAGTCCACATGCACAAGATAAAACAACGTATCTTCTCTAGAATCACTTAATGAAAATTTCAGTCTAGTTTGTTTTGCCAATGGGCATACATGGCAACTATCTTGTAGCATACTGCTAACCTTATTATGTAGACCTACTATATGCTTCATTACTGATAAAGAAGGATGACCTAGCCTTTTGTGCCACAGGCTACAAGAAGCTTCAGTCATCCTGCTCACAACATTGAAGGTCCTTATTTTACTATCTAGTCTTCCATAGTGGTCACCTTTGAGTAGATATAGACCTCCTCTTTCTACCAATCCCCTTCACCTTGCCAT